TTTCTTTATTATTATTATTATTATTATTATTATTAGTATTATTAGTATTACTACTACAACTACTACTACTACTATTATTATTATTGCTACTATTATTGTTGTTATTGTTGTTGTTGTTACTATTGTTGTTGTTTATAATTATTATTTATAATTTGTACAATTAACATCCATGTGGTTCGATCCCGGTTTTGCTAGATTATTTATTACTTTGACACTCCTGTACTTGAGAGAAGACATCAATCTTTTGGTCGTGTCAATTTATTACCTAAAAATCTGATTTTCATCGGTTTTGAATAATTCTTTAAAAGCTAAGTTGTCTCAAACCACAAGTTGTTCAATTAGCCTCAAATAGTAATTTACAAGAACCACTAGTAAAAAACTCATAAATCTATATTTAAAAGAGATAACCTAAAGTGTTACTTCTTTATTCTGTAACTTATGTAGTTTTTCTGTCTAACAAATAATCATCCAAAAATAAGAGGCATAACTTACTATTTATAGATAAATCTGAAAAACCCTATAAATTAGTAAAATATCAATTTGCCCCTTGAATAATATTCATATATTAATTTAGGATAATTTTAAAAATTAATTCAATCAAGTTCTTACTTGATTTTGCTAGGTCTAAATATAATTTCATGTATTAATTATATTTTTATCCTTAATTTCTAAAACATATTTTAATCAAATCATACTTAATTAAATCATTCCAGTTTAGTGTTTAACGAATGGTGCTTAATGTGTGTAACCCTTAATGTTCCTAATAAATTGGTCAAATATAAATTATAATTATAATTAAATAGAATTAAATAAATTAAATAATTTAATTTATTATTAATTCAATAATTGATTAATTTATATTTCAAATTTAGGTGCATCATCATGCAATATCATGATCCTATAAATATTAAAAAATTCATTAGTGGTTTGACTTAACTTTTTAATTATTAGTTTCTCAATGTAATTAATATTCTTCCATAAATAATGCTCTAATTTAACATTAAAGCATTGAATATGTCTGTTAAGTTAAATTATATTTATTTTCTATATAATAGTCATTAATCATTTAAATAAGATTTGAAACTCTTTTCAAATCTCATTCCACTTTTACCAAAGATTTCTCAGTCAAAATTATTTGAGAACAGATTAAATGTTTTCTCTTAATCACTTAAGTAGCTTCATATAGTTCATGATATACTCAATGTTTGCCTTTTTATTACCTCAATTAAGATAATATGTAACATGATCAAAATATAGCATTCTCTATATATGATAACTTAATAATCTCAAGTCCAAGGATCACTTACACAATCATCATGTAAGCTTTTCTATAAATTTAGATGATCTCTCTATATAGAATTCTTATGCGGGTCAGTTTAGTGTACATGTTTTATGACAAGCATCTACGTATTATTTCTAGGCATCCCTCATATCTTAAGTTATAAAAACAACTACTTCCTTTCTTAAAGAAAATAACATAATATGTATCAGTCTCTACAACTCTAATAAATGGTAAGTGTTTAATAGAGCATCAACTAAGAACATTTTAAAAATAATATTTTGATATAATAGGAATCTTATAATTATAATAACTTTGTAATTTTCTTTGCAAAGTATTTTTGTTCCATGAACTTTATCTTTATTCTAGATTCATAAATCAAGTATTAGATTCATTAATTTAACATTATATGAATATTAAAGATAAATTAATTCTTTATTAATAATAAATATATATTTACATGAATATAATGATATCACGTGTAATCAACTAATTGGTTACAGGACATATTAAACTAGCATAATACAGTAAAAAGATACAAAGGCATGCAATGATGACAGCTAAAAATCTAACATTAACTATAAAATAAAAGATAAAGGGGTTTTATTGTAACTCTTCTCACAAAACACTATATATTTCAATAGTGTTTTGATATTTTTTTCAATCAATATTTTTTTATTTTATTCTTTAATATTATATTTATTTTTAATAAGTTATCACACTTTCATAATATAGATCATGGTTTTATCGGGTTAACCCGATTAATTAAGGGTTTTTTTTCCTTTTCTTAATTAACATTTTTTTCTGATTTCATTCTTTAGTATTTGATTGATTGGGAATTACATATCATGTTTATTTTTTTACCTTTTATTATGTTATTTCAATCTCATAACCCGGAAATAATGCTTAACAAGTTAACTCAAGTTGTCTTTTGTGTTATTTTTAAGTAATATTTGGTTGATTAGAAATTAGACATCATGGTTTATTTTGTTTACTTTTTATTATGTTATTTCAACCTCATAACCCATAAATAATGTTTAACAAGTTAACTCAAGTTGTTTTTTATGTTGTTATTAAGTAATATATGGTTGATTGGAAATTAGACGTCATGATTTATTTTGTTTACTTTTTATTATGTTATTTCAGTCTCATGACCCAAAAATACTGTTTAACAAGTTAACTCAAGTTGTTTTTTGTGTCATTTTTAAGTTATTTTTTTAATTTTATCATTCAACATTGGATCAATTAGGAATTGAGCTAAAATAATATTTAACGAGTTAACAAGAGTAATTTTTTGTGTCATTTTTCTAATCTATTTTGATTTGTTTTCTATGAGGATAGCTTGGTCTCAGAACCAAGATCACGGGTTTTGATATTTTAACCCTGGTTAAATTGAGTTATCTTTTTATTTTTTTTTCTAAAGATTATATCAATCACATGACCTAGATCACTAGTCCTTCAATAATGGATTTGATTTTTATTGGGTTAACCCCGTTTCATGACCTGAGTTACGGGTTTAGCGAGTTAACCCAATTGGCTTATTTTTTTATTTCTTTTTAATTCATTTTTTTTCCCTAAATTCATCATTTAATATTGTGTTTAATTGAAAATTAGGCTTCATGATTTGTTTTATTTTATTTTTTATTAGTTTATCCTAGTCTTATGACTCGAAGATGGTGATTAATGGGTTAATCCGGGTTGATTTGATTTATTTTGTGTCATTTTTTTAATTAATTTTTTTACAAGTTTCACTATTTAACATTGGGCCCAATAAAAATGATTGAGAATTGAGCTTCATAATTTATCTTGATTTGCTTTCTATGAAGTTATCTCAGTTTTATAATCAAAGTTGTTGATTTAAAAGGTTCACCCGAATTAAATTAGGTCAGGTGTTTTTTTTTTCTATGAGGTTATATTGGTCTAATATCCTAGGTCATGGATTTGGCAGATTGACTTGAGTTGTTTTTATTTTTTAATTGATTTTTTTTTTTAATTTCATCCTTCAATATTAGGTTAATTGGGGTTTAAGATTTATAATTTGTTTTCCATGGAGTTATCTTGGTCTTATGATCCGAGTCATAGGTTTGATAGGTTAACTTAAGTAATGTTTTTAGATCCTTTTTAAATTGATTTTTTTTTAATTACATCCTTTTAACATTTAATTGATTGAGAATTAAACTTTTTAATTTATTTTGATTTGTTTTTTATAGGGTTTTCATAACTCATGCCGCATATTTGATATGTTAACCTAGGTTGATTCAAGTTAATCTAATATATTATTATATTAATATTAAAAAAAATATCATTTTAAATTTTTTATAGTCAAACCATGTTTTTACTAGTTGTTTTTAGACTCGCAAAGTAAACCAAGTTATATTGAATTAATTTTCACACGATTTATTTTTTTCACCAGAAAAAAAAACATTAGCAATATCTAATTATTATTTTTATGATTAAAAAAAATCTGATTAAATCCAAAGCATACTACAGATGAATTATCTAGTATTAACCTATAACATGTTAACTATTTGGACCGAGGAAAATTTAAGTGCTAACATGTATATCTTATCTTAATTATTATGGTTCATGATGTTATAATTTTGAGAGATTTGATTAATAAAGGATATT